TATTACCACAGACTCATGCCCACTCAAAGGTGAAGCCTTTGCTGCTGGTAGGACACAAAGGCTGCAGGGCCACTGTCTGGAGTGAGGTTTTCTGCCACAGGGACCCAAATTTAACTCTGCCTGGGATGCCTCCAGGAGAAGTGGGAGAAGATAGGCTGAAAAGAGTTTTATTATTGCTGTAATTTACCCACCAAGCACCCTTCTGCTGGAAATAACCTTTCCAAAGCTGTAACACAAGATGCAGTCCATTGTAAGTGGCAGTCTGAGATATTTGGTCATCTGTACAAATATTGTCATCACACCAGCTCAGAAGGTTGTGCAGCAGCTATGTTTGTGTCTTCAAACTTGCTGTTTGGGGTTTTAAGCAGCACTGCCAAAACACCAAGCATTTGCTTCCAACACATAGTAATTGCTGTCTATACCAATATTTTTGTTTATTTATTGAGGCTTTAGCTTGGGTTTTTACATGTGTACAGTGTATTTAAGGAGTAGAAATATAAGAAAAGAAAATATGTGGAGGGTAAAGAAACGAAAAGACAGAAAATAGTTAGGATTTTTTTTTTTGTTCTTGGCGTTTTCCTGAAGAATACTATCACTATCTGTCTGGTGTACCGAATACAATAAACAGTAAGCACCTGTAAAAAGCTATTTTGATGTGAAAAAGGAAGATTTCCGAGCTATCCTGGCAACTCTTCATATTTCAGCTTTAAACAGACTGCCTCTTCTGAACTGGGATGATAAATGATCTGGTGTATGATCCATGCATCCCAAAGTCTTTGGAAGAGCAAAAGTGGCCCTAAGCCAGCTACCTGTGCTGAAGGAAATGTCCCTCATTCGGGAAAGAGGAGTGCTGCTGCCTGCAGGGGTACTGCAGTGCCCTCCCCTGACTGCCTGCTAGTGTCCCCACCCAGGACAGTCACTGAACAACCCGTGGGAGCATTAATGCCTTCCCTGGGAGCACTAATCACAGATTTTATCTGGCTTCAGCTTCATGCTGCAGGATGTCCTCCATGCCGTTACCAGAGAGCCCGCAACAACATGACATTTATATAATGTTCATGAGCCCAGACTATTTAAACCCTAAAATATTCATTAAATGAAATTTGCATAGAGTGTAGCCGAATGCAGCAGATAGCTAAAAAAAAAGTACTTTTCTCTCTAAAGGTAAAGAGGAGATCAGGGTGTGACAGATGACCAAGCTTGTGCCCTTAGGCTTTCCTGAGACAGGTCTTTAATAAGATGAGCTATCTTTCAATCCTTGTTGACTAGGCAATTCTGCAGGGTATTACATTCTTCATAACCGAGTGAGATCAAGGGCACAGGGGTGTGTGACAGAGAGGCCAGCTGGTCAGGGAAGGGGGATGCAGGCGATAGGGACACACAGACACAAAAGGACTCCCAGGAGCTCAGTGCCTCCCCCCATCACCGCTGTTTCCCCTGGCCCTCTGAGGTATCCCACTGCTTATTACCTGGGGTAAGGGAGGAAGGAAAATATTGGTAAACAACCACAGATGTCAAGGAATTAAAAGCAATCAATAGGCAGAAATGAACAGGACCAAGGTAAGCACTATTGCCTACACAGTGCCTCCAAAGCTGTGATGGATACCCCCCATTCCAAGCAACCCTCCAGCCCACATGGTCTTTCTCGGCATGTCTTTTGCCTTGTATTTCTCCTTCATGTTTCAGGGAGATCTTACAGTCTCTGCTGGCCCTTGCAGAAAATGGGTGGGAATTGCCTGCTGTAGTCAAGGTGTCCTTAAGCAGTAAGCTTAAGATGTGTCAGCTCTCTATGGAGTGGTCTGCAATGAGATTACACAGGAAAAATAACCCTGTCCTTCACAAATTAGCAGTGAGTGAAAAAAGGCATTCGTAACTTGTAAAGCATCCTAAGATGGTTTTCAGGAAAATGCAAAGCATGGAGCCTTGCACTTCTCCATCCCACTCTTCCCACCTGCAAAAAAGGCTTTCTAAAGGGGCAACTCAATCAATGGATTAACATTAACAATCCTCACTCCAAACATGCCTGGCAGCTCAAGCTTCCCAAAGGTGGCCCTGTGTTTCAGAAAATGGTCTGTGTATCAGCTGATGTTCTCATCAGCTCAAGCACTACCTATTTGCCTCTATTTTGTCTGTTTTCAGCTGAAAGTGGGATGCTTGTTGCACTTGAATTATGAAGCTCTAATCTTCTCCCTATAAGCCAAATCTGGTTTGGTTTTCTTTCCTTTGTTTTGTTAAATGGAGCCCTAGAAAAGATCCCTTGAGTACAGGGCTGATTATCCCCTTCAACCAAGCCTACACAGTTATGTGCCCCAAGCATGAGTATGGATTTAACATCATAATCACTACTGCATTTTCATCAAGCTTTTTTCTCACATTCTTGCCTTGGCTCAGCACTAAGAAATGCTTTAGAAGTTTTCCAGCTCTCCCTCATACCCCAGGAGCATTGCAGGCACTGAGGACTTAAACAGTGAGTTGATTTTCACATGCTGCAGTCTGCACAGAAAACACTGTTGCCAGTCACATAAGAATTGTACATAGTGAGCTACTTATCAACAAGCACCAACCCTCACCATGCCCATAATCAACTATCTGACACAACAAAATATGCTCTCAAGGGGAAGAAAATGCCAAAAATAATCTGCATCCTGCTTCCCTTCATAAAACATCCCCACTATATTACAGTCTTAAACCATTTTTGGCTTAATAAAATTAATAATATATATTTTCCCTCTATTTTGTGATTCAGCTGTTTCCTAAGCCATAAGAAGCACCAACAGTGAATCCTGTGATGTCAGAGCAGCCTAGGAGCAGAAATAATCAGCTTGAAAATAAACAGCATTTTTTTGTAATCAAAGTGCTAATAGGCATGGGTAGGCTGGCAAAGAGAAGGGATGGAGAAGAGGGGAAAAACACCTGCACACTGATAAACCTGAAATACATAAAAGGGCTGGGGAAGAATGACCATTTGTAGTAAAAGAAGGTAAAGATTTTTCAGTAGGACAAAACCATCCCACAGCAAATCCACCACTGGTTTGTTCTTGCAGTTTCAGAAAAACTGGTAAATGCCGTGTTCATCACCTGCCTCCCACTTTATCATGATGATATTTGCTAGGGTGTATATCACCCTCTGCATGCACTCAATTCCACCATACCCCTGAAAAACTATTCTTTGAGTCTAATACAGTAAAAGAGTTTTTATTTTCCCCAAAATATGAGGTACCTCAGTTATTTAAAGCCTCAGCAGCCTCTCTTGGGCTGCCAGATGAATTGCTGTGACCCCACAGGTGTGAGTAACCTGCTGTACCTGCAACAGTGGATCCACCATGCACTATGCACTTCCATCGCTGCTGGTATGGATAATAAAATGAAACAGGGAGGCAGCATCAAGAGCAAGAGCATAACCTGGCTGGCCAGTGGCTACTCTGCTATGAAGTCAGGTGATTCTCCACTATTCCAACAGGAAACGCTCCCTTGCCAAAACCTAGACCTGGCAAGAGGCACTGCTGCGATCAGTGCATGGTCCCACATGGAGTTTCTTCCCCAAGATGTTTTGGCCAGAGTGACTGCAGGAAGGACTCAGGTGGCTTGAACCAGAAGGCCAAGAATATCACCAAATACCACCACCCCTGGCTCTCTTGCCCAACCAGACTGCTGAGAAGCACCGAGCAGCACGGCCCCCGTGCGAGGACAGTCCTGGGATGGGGTAGAACTGCTCCACTGATCGGCTGCTGCTGCATTTATCCTCCAGCACTGGGAATATCTTGTTCCACAGGTGCCTCACCCACCTGCTCCAAGCCTTTTGGCTTTTACCCAGCATGATAGGACTTGGATAGGCACAGTTTAGATGGAGGCAGCACCAAGTCCCTAAGCCCAGGCCATGGGAGGGCTTTGCGAAAAATCACTGAAAATTCATTACCAATCATTTCCAGAGGTGGTTACCTCCCCTGTCAACCTTTCCAGTCTATTTTGTGGCTTCCTGTATTCCTGATTGCACTCAAGGGATTTGAAGGGGAGGCTGGAGGGGAGCAGTGAAGTGCCAGTGGGCCATTGGCAGAAGTGGGGCGGGAAGGACCATGTGGCCAAGGATGGTGAGGGCGCTTGGCATATGCCCAGAGCAGGAAAATAAAGAGACAGCAAACAACGACCGAGAGGGCCTAACGGGGACTTGTTTTACTCTTTGACATGCTACCAGCAGTTTTTAATCTCAGAAAACCCAAATTAAAAAAAAGAAGAAAATTAATAAAAGAAAAAAATTACAATGATTAAAAGATATGACACGTGAAACACTATACTCAAATCATCCATGTGTCATCGGCTACTTTATACAGTAGGCACAAAACAGACCTAGAATCACCTGCAACAAATGTCAACCAGTGTTGTTCTTGCCCCTAAACAAGTACCACCAGCCTGATTTTTCTAGTCAGCCACAGCTGCATAACCTTTGTGCTTAAATTTCTCAGCTTAGGCCTCCTTTCTTCGGCATTGCTCACCCATGCTGTAAAGGAGTGGAGACTCATATTGAAGACATTAATGGAGAGAGGAAGAACAACGACAAAAAAAGAGAGATTAATTGTACAGTACATACATACAGTATCTTCTAAATCGTGATCAGTTGTTTATTGGTTGGCAAACAAGCTTCACTTTTACAACAAATATTAGTAATGAGGTCATTCAACTGCTGAGACCATACAAAATGGATCATAAATTAAAAAAAAAAAAAAAAAAGAGAAAAAGAAGAATTCATATTCCGTGCTGCTAATTTACCTCCAGAAAGCCTATGTTACTTAAAAATCCGGTCAAATAAATAAATTTCCTGTTAGGAAAAATAATGAACAGAGGACTTTTTTTTATTTTTTTTTAATTAAAAATCACCGCAAAGTACTTTTTAGCTCACTACGCGTCAATCTATTTTCTTCTTAAACCACTGCAGTACAAGTGCCTAAACCGGGGACCAGACTGAGCCGAGAAGGCCCTTTGCTCCTCCAGGGAAATGGCAGTCTCCTGTAGAACCCCCACTGCAACTACAAAACCTCTCCTCAGTCCCTGGATGCGACCCGAGGGCCTGGCTGAGGGGCTGTCGGCCAGAGATGCTCCACAGGATTATTGTCACCATCGGGTTGTGCACTGACAATGAGGAAGTTTGCCCTGCTCTAGTCTGCCAAAAGGTCTGCTGGCAACATGCCGGCTGAAAAAGGTTATACAGCGAGGAAATTAAAAGACTGCCTTGGCTGAAAAGAAATGGTGATGCTGTTACTAAAAATGGTCCTTAGAAAGTGATGTTTGGGGTTTTGTTTTCTTGCCCAGTGAGGTTTTTTCACTGGGATGGGAAGGGGACAGAGAGAAGGAGCAGTGGACAAGGCAAAACAAAATTTAAAAAAAAAAAGAAAGGAAAGAGTTATGAAAAACCTTGCTCCTACTGGTAGACAAACTTACAAGACCAGCACAACAGAAAAAAGTTCTTATTTTTTTTTCCACTACATTAACAGGGACGCAAGTTCTGGAGGAACAGAAAGCAGACTATATGTGCAATGCTAGTATCTGTACATTACATAGAAATTGTTCGCTTCTCTTTTTCTGCCATTAGTTTTTATCATCCGTTAATACAGCAAAATATGCCTTTAGCACAAGATTCTAGGATTCCCTTCCGTCTCATTAAATTTGTTTACATTTTGTTTGCTCCCGCAGCAAAGGGCGCTGCAGTGAAACCAAGTTGTGAGTGACCATAACCCATGGTGTGATCTGGATTGGTAAGAAAGAGTTTTGCTAGCTTGTTTTACGCAGCGCTCCCACCTAGATGCGTCATTGCTACTAGTTTCAAATGCACATTTTTGGCCTTTTATTTTTTTTTTTTTCCCCCTCTTAAATCAGGTCCTTGGTATTAAGAGCAACACAGCATCAAGGATTGTTTAAACAAACACGGCATAACTTGAGAAGGCCACGAAGTGTGCCGTTATCTATCTCTTTCATTAACATAATGAAGTCTGTCTGGAGGGAAGAAGGATAGGAAGATAAGGGGGGCACAGCAGTTACTGTCCTCTCCGGGCCGGCCTAAAAATTCCAGTAAAAAAAGTCTGAGAATTTCCTTTTGAACAGCATGAAGATTTAGGAGTACACACAATATTACCACTGTTTGGATTAACTCAGAACAGTAAACCGAGTGTTACGGAGAGGCTTTTAGTTGTCTCTTTGTTCAATTTTTGCTGAATCTTCTATAGACTAGTGACCAAGTGAGCGGGTCCTTTTGCATTGCCGTCTGGAGAGGTTCCCTCTTTGTTTGGCGGGACTATAAAACCGTCGCTGCTGCCTCGACCTAGCTGGTAGTAAGTGTGTAGCTGATGGACGTGGTTCCTGGAGCCAAGATTGGGCATGCTTTTGTAGTAAACGTCGTCGGCATCGCCACCACCACTTTTCGCTGGTGGAGGATCGGTCTGGGTGCTGGCGGTGACGCTTTCCGTCATGGGCATGCCAGCCAGCGCGGGCATGCTGGTGTACAGAGAATCCCTGTTGGGCGACTGCAGGTCGTCCGTGTGCTCGTTGGTCAGCAAAGGGAAAAAGCTCTCGCTGTTGTCTTGCGGGATGCGACGCCGACTGTAGAGGTGGGGCTGGTGGTTGTCTGCCGAGTACACCCGGGGAGGCAGCAGTGGGGCGTCCGACTCCTCGTGGATGAGCTCCAGGCCCAGGCTCTCCTCGTGGGTGAAGGAGGTGGCGTCATCCAGCACGATGGCATCGTCCTCGCTCCCGCCGCCCACGCTGTTGACGAGTTTGTTCATCAAGTTGCGGCTCTGCTCGCTGGAGCGCTCATGGTTGTTCAGGTAGGAAGGGATGTAGTTGGAGGTGAGTTCCTTCAGGATCTTTTTCTCGAGGGCGTTCTCCGTGTGGTTGTACCCACGGTCAAGGATTTGCACGCAGTTGCTGAGGTACTCGCCGCTGGCGATGCTGTAGCTGTTGCCATGATTACCATTCAGTGGTAGAGTATCCGTGACACTTGTATCCCTGGCATTGTTCAGAAGCCCCTCTGAAAAACATTACACAAGAGAGGGTGACTTGTACAAACAGGACACTCATGCGGGATGTGCACACTCAAACCCCCTTCCTAGGCTACCGCAGCTGCTGGGGCTGGGCAGCAAGGAGAGTGTCGCGGCCAAAATGGGAGGGCGCAGCTCCATCTAACCAGCTGGTGGTCCAGGGCTTCCCCCAAAAAAACGGAAAGCACTGTCAAGTGTGTGACTTGAGGTGGCAACATCCAGCTGGACGGATAACCTCTCCTGGCCAGCATTCTCCTACAGCTCTTGCACTCTATGTATTCCTGAGGGAGCTGAAAAATTCATGACCCTGGGCTGGTCCCAACTGCCCTGGCCCTAGGAACTTTGGAGGAAGGGGGCAATTCCTCCCAGCTAAGGAAAAAATATTTGCAGCCCAGGCTAATCACTACCAAAACTTTGTTTGGGAGTGTATCCTTTCTAGGGGAAAAAAAGTCTGCTCTCCCCTTTCGCTGGGCAGGCTGTCAGGATAAAGACATAAGGACTGAATGGCAGGATTCAGGGAGTAGCAAGGGGGAGGCACAAAGTGCTTCCTGGCCCAGGATTTTCTGGAACAAGGCTAAATGCCCTACCTCTTCTGGCTGAAGGGCACAACCAAAATTATTTACTCCACACTGGCCAGGTGGGGATTTTCTAAAACAATTCATGTTGGAGGCAGCTGTTCTGGGGTCTTGTGAAGCTTTTAAAAATTGCTCCTATTCCATCTGCAAAGTTAAAGCAGTGGGTTCAGCAGAGGGTACAGCAAGTACCATCACTGCCATGGTAAAGGTGGGCTCATGGGAACCTGAGAGAGTAGCAGGGTCTTGGGGTGTCTCCGCTCTGCCTATTGCATCTCTACAGGTGTTTCAATGCTGACAACATGAGGCTGGAGCTCAGCTCTTTCCCAAAGCACTACGGGAGATGGCAGGGAAGTGCTTTGAGAGCAATGCCAGCATGGGTGGGGGCAAATGAGAAGAAAATCAGGCCCAGCAGTTAAGCCACCATGCTTTCTTTTTTGGGATCACTGGTCTCCTTGGAAGGAGAGCAGGCATGGGGACGTATGAGATAACTTATTGACCTCTCAGCTAAGGGCTTCAGGCATTGCCAAAAACTGGCAAGCAACTCTCAGCAAGGCACAGTGGATCAAAGAAGCCATTAAACTGACAATTTTAGATGAACAGTTGCTCATACCATGCTTAGTACATGGCATGTGTACCTTCTGAAAATACAGGATTCAGTCTATATCTGCGATGGAGTAGTTGCTGTATGTCAAGGGCTGGAAAGCGCTACTGAAGGCTTCTTCTTGCTTTTGAATGAAATGCCCCAAATGTGTCGGTCACCTTTTGGGTTTCTGAAGCTTAGAGGGTGCTGCTGTATCCTGGGTTTCCCAGCAAATGAGGGAGCTATGCCAAAAAATCAACTAGCCATCACAGACATAGAGCAAAGCCATTGATTTTCACGGTGAAAGATCTCCAACCGAGTCACGATGCTTGGGGAGAAATGAAAAGTGAGCATTTTTGGGGGAGGGCTGTATGTAATGGGTGACAGGTACAACAGCATCTGTTTGATGGTTACGCTGAGTAAGGTATGCATTGAGGCACTGAGCACTGTGCTCCTGCTGCCAATGCACAGATCTGGGGTTTGGTGCAGAAATAAAATGGGAGGCATTGCAAGTGAGAACAGAGTGGGGGCTGCAATGAAACACACCATATAAAAATGCCATGACCTCGCAAATAAAAACACGAAGTAGGGGGAAAAAAAAAAAAGCATACACAACTAAACAATAAACTATGCTGGGTAAACGATACCACAAAAATGAGAAATAAACAAAGGAAGCATCATCTAATCTCATCTATATATATATATGTAAACATACATATATATACATACATACATACATACATTCACACGCATACACATATATATACATGTCTATTCATAGTCTTTTGATTTCAAAACTGTGAGGTTAATTTCCTTTATTAACTACATCATCTATATGTGATGCAATAAAAGTGAACTAAAAAAAATTACATTTGATATGCAATGTTTAGCTTTACTCCCATACTTGTCTCTCTGTAGGGCTCTAAACGACAGCATGAAGAAAAGGAAAGAAAAAACAACAAGTAAGCTTACAGCGACAGTAGGAGAAACATGAGTAAAAAGCAAATTGATGATATGCAGAAAAGAGAGTTAACGGAAATAATTTCCACTGCCCAGAATACATGAATTTGTTACAAGGTTTATTTCAGGTTAAAAATATTGACATTTTAGACAGAAAAAAAATATTTTACGCGCAATAGTCAATAGTCTACATTTTTATTTTAAAAAATTATCACATTTAAACTGTTTTCCAATGCCATTATAAAATGTTCAGCGTGCAACACAAATGAAGAAATAATGCCAGGAAATTTAGGAAAAGTCTAAAGTTGGTAACGGTCATGCTTGAAAAGACAGGCATTGTCAATGTCACTTCCAAAGTCTTAAAATGAATGGCTTTACTTACTGTTAGGTATAATAACCCCTGGTAGCTGAAACTGAATTCTGTTTCCTTGCTAAAAATGTTTTGCCGTCCATCTTTTGCAACAGTGCTTTGTAAGAGTATGACTTAGCTCATCATGGGGCTGCTGGCATTTTACAAACTTTGGTAAGTCTGAGTTTTACTTTAACCAAACATATGGCAAACTACATGGACTTGGCAAAAAAAGAAACAAACAGGAAAAAAAAAAAAGAGGACTAGTAGTTTGGATAATGACATTGCTAGAGGAAACTATTAAGAAAGGCTTAAAACAAGAAAAGTCAGAGAATAAGATGAAGAGGCAGTGATAACGCTCAGCTTCCCACTCCTCAGCTATCTGTTGGATTTTAAGTAGAGCTTGCTAATGGTCATTAATGCTTGTGGACACCTTCTCTCAGAATTAATTCTGACCAAAGGTGTTGGGATGTTTTCCTGCTTTGGAGAGACTGAGCCAGTGTATGTCCCTCAGCTTCCAATGACAGTGAGCACTTGGCCCCTCACCTACCACCTCCTCCTCCCTCTACACTCTGTGTCCTATCAAGGAATTGCTTATGTCACTGGAATTTGGCCTTTTAGGGTCTGATTCCCCACCTCTTTTCAAGGGTAATTTTTAGGACTTCCTGTCCCTGGTGATTGCCTGCCACAGTTGTGGCAGCTTTGGCTTAAGCAGAGACAGTATTTTAAAAGACGTATCTGGGGAGGGGAAAAGAAACAGGTGGAGCAGATCAGTCCCTTGTTCCTTAGGGTGTCCTGCCCCATCCATGGCCAGCACCAGAAGTGGTAAATGAACATGCAAAAGAAAGTCACGGCCTTAGTGATGTGGAATGAGTTAGCTGGATGGTGTTAGCTTGCAATGCTCACTGCACGCCAGCCACAGCCAAGGCACACCCAGAGATGATGACAGCATCTACTTTTACAATGCACTCTCCTGGCTTTAGCATTCCTGCTGGTGCAGCATCCCCAGAGGGCCACCGAGACCACTAGGCCTGGTTGGTTTTGCTACCCTTCATTTCTGCCACGGGATCTCCTAATATTCACAGTTTGTAATTGTCCAGGGACCTAACCAGTTTGAAAACTAATAGCTATAGCAGTTCTGTGGTCATTAATTAACTCACAGCCTCCTGAAAACAATGGGTTAGGTTCTGCTCCCTCTGAAGTCAATGGCAAAGCTCCAGGAGCTTAAATGGGACCAGGGTGGTCCCATTCTCTTTCTTCACTTCCCATGGATGAAGCCTGGACAGGTTTCTCTGTTACTTATCTAACTGTGTTGAACAGAATAGCACTTGCAAAATTTATGCTGTTTTTGTGGAATAACATTCTGTTAGCTCAGGTAACTGTATCAGATTTTAGTATTAAAAATTTGAAGACCATAAAATTATTAAAGTAAATGTAACACACATATATGCCCATATTGCCTGGGCAGAAGCACCCAGACCTGAACATCAGGATTCCTCTTAAGGTGAATGCTGACTCAACATTACCTGTTGCCATTTGATTTGAAAGACTCCCATACCTCAAGGTTATCATGCAAGAAACTAGTCAGAACATCAAAGCTCATTTCCACATTTGCAGTACACTGAAAATCTTAAAACTCAGAGCATTTCATGTTTAACAGTAGCCCCTTTTCAAAAAAGCATTCTTGGAAACAAATTTATTGCACAAAGTTAGCATAGTTTTGGAAATTAATAAACAGCAAAAAGGATAAACACATGTGCTTTCCTTGTGCTTTGAATGCAAATACCCTACTGATACAGTTCAACATCTATTTCTGTCATAAACAACATGCTGCCATAGAGTACAAAGGGGGCTTTCCTGCTTGCATTATAACCATCATTATTTTCCCTCTCTTGGATATCCTTTACTGGGAAGTGATGCCTTCACTGAGAGCGGAGAGCTGACAGAGTGCTGGCACACTTGCACTGGAATGCAGCGCTACTCTGCAGTGATTCAGCCACCTTACAAGGAAGACCAAAAAAATAATCCCATGGAAAGGGCAGAGCAGGATGGAGCCACCAAGAGACAGGAGCTGTCAGAGCTGACACTCCCCACCTCCTCAGGCCCTACTTAAACACATCTGCCTCTCCCTCACAGAAGCACCAGGACATCAGCTTACAAACATCGTCCCTTCCCACAGATGCCAGAGCAGAGACAAACATGTAGGTGACAGAAGAGTGATTTCCATAGCAGAAACCTCCATTAGGTACAACTGACTCTGCCTGTCTCTTTTCTGTTGCCAAAAGGAGGATATCAAATAGTATCTAGATTCACTACACCTTCTTTCGATTATTTTTTCCCCTAACAACACAGATAAAATGTATAAATGCAAACGGCAAAACATTTCTTATCTCAGCTCTGCTCTTTGGAGCTGGCCTACACTTCTTGCTTCAACTGTCATTTTTCTTAGAGATCAAGGGCAGTTTTGTTTTATTTTGCATTTTACTCCCTGTGCAAACCAGCGCACTGCTGGCCACATTTCTGCAGGCCATTTCAAATGAGAGCAGCTTTGGTGGCAAAGGCCAGTTTAGCTTCACTTACCTTCAGCGGTGCTCCTGTTTCTGAAATGAACGGTTTAACAAGGAAATGCGCTGACAACAAAGAGAGGAATGGATGTGTCTGACAAAACACACACACACACACACAAGTCCAAAACAATACAAAAGCAAGGAGACTGAAAAAAAAAATCAAAATCAAAATACTGTGAATGCTTTGAGAAAAACTGACAAAAGTCTTTCAAAGTGAATTGGATTGCTCATGGAAAAATAGCATCTGGAAGATGGAAAGATGCATTGAAATGAAAGGGAGGGGAGAGGATCTTTTTTTTGTGCCCAGTTCCAAAAAAAAAGTGTGTGTGCGTGGGGAGAGAAAAAGTAAAAGGAATAAAAAAAAGAAAGAAATGGGCCAAAATAAGCCACAGAAAATGGAATTCTCACTAGAAAAATTAGAGAGAAACTCCAGCACACCTTGTGCGTTGTACATGCTGACAGAAGGGTTGTTATAGACCGCCGATTCCCCGAGCAATGTATTATAAGGGTTGTTAGTGCCATGAGGACGAAGCAGAGCATTGGTTATAAGATGATTAGCCATGGCTCCTGGAGCAGCCCGATAGAAAGACAGAGAAAAAAAACAACAAAAAAAGGTCAATCAGGCAAATGTGGTATTAAAAAAAAGGAAAAAAGAACATTCAGAATGACAACAGTTGAAATAGTCCTGATTACAAGCAGCCAGCTAATTAGACTCGGAAAACTGTATGCCACTAAAGCAGAACAGATGTTACTGACGATGCACAAATCCAAACCAACGCAAAAGAAAATGTATCAGAAAGCGGATAAGCTACATTTATGGTGGTTCCCCAGTTGCTCGGAGTGTAAGCAAGGCTGCGCCCACATGCTTGCTACAAAGAAAGAAAGGAAGATGGCAGCCTACACAATGTGGGGGGAAAAACTCTCCGGAAAGTGCCAAATGAATAAATAAAATATATATATAATGATTAACAGACAACAGCACATTCAACTCCCACTATGTGCTAGGATCTCTTCTGCCAGACCTTCACAACGCATCTAAATCAAAAAAGCAGAATTAAAGAGAAAGGATGGAGAATGCAGCCTCTCCAAAGGCTCTCAGCAATTTTCAGACAGCAGCTGTTTCTCGTGTCTAAGAGGGCAAGTTTCACTTCAGCTACTTCTCTGATATCACCATCAAGAGCATCACAACCACCTGAATCCATCCTGGAAGGTGAGAGCACTACAGCTCTGCCAGGCATTTCTACCAGGAATGAGAGTGGCCACAAAGCGCATGTCTCAAGGCTTTCTGTGTGCCCCACAAACACCTTGATTCACCACTCCAGCACCTCTTTGCTGCTATCTCCAAGCACTCAGCCAACAGTTGTCCTTTGATATTTGGTTTATTCCCTTGGAGATGCAGCCTCTGGACCTGTGCTTTTTGGGATCATCATGACTTGGCAGGTGGCAGCAATTCCTATTGCAGGTATCAATCCAGCAAGCAAAGTCTCCCCCTACCTTTTAGCTGACCTACAGGATGAAAAACCCTTAAGCCCTTGCTCTGAACCTTGTCTAATCTCCAGAGACATGACCGAATTAAAAAAAATTTGCCCTTCAGGGCCCTTCCTACTGAGTTCTATAGCAGGAAGAATGTCCATGGTTTTTAATCTCCAGGACTAAACTGTAAAGACAAAACCTTCCCACCAGGAAAGTAAGTAATTGGTGGGGCAACTAGAGCTGGTTAGCACAATACTGTCAGAGGGCTCACATCACCTGGCTGTCACCAACATCCGATATCCTCAACCCAAAGCAGTAACTGAAAAGCCAATCCTCAAAACCAGTAACTCTTTCAGGAATGCTTTTACCAGTGTCTGAGGCATGGAGACCCCATTTGCCTCTTTCAGGTGTGAAGGTGGCTCTGTGCTAAGGTGAAGGCTGTCTTTGTGGGGCATGTAGGGCACTGGGTACAATCTCTTTGCATGGAGTTGCTAAGGATATACAAGCCCTGAGGACCTCTGGCTAGTACAAATCCCCTTAGCAGGGAGTTCTTTGAAAGCTCACACGTACTTATTGTTTACAGAAAGGTAAAAACTGGCCAAACCTCAGGCTAGGTGGAGGCTGCCGTGCTTGGATGCAGGCCTGGGATGACATTTCCCCATGTCTCTGCAGGTAGAGGAGGGAGCAGACAGTTTCTTGCCTCTCCCCCATCATCCCCCAGCACTCCCCAGCCCCAGGCGTATGGCATTAGCAGGTCACTGAATCGGTCTTTTGAGCACAGGACAAAGTAGAAGGCAGTGTTGTATGGGGGCTGCATGCCAGGGAGGCTCCTCGACACATGCAGCTGGAAAAAAACAACTTGTATTCTCTCACCTGATATTTTTGTCTATGCTGATGGAAAGCAAGATGGGCTGCTGTGTTTGAAAATAAGGAAACAAAGCTGTCTCCTGTAAGAAAACATTATATGAACGCTTAACTAAGCAACCTTGAATGTAACTAATAGGTAAATGAGTAAATTCTTTCTTTCTGCTAATGTGTTTTCTCTCAATCTCACATTCATCTGGGATGAGAGACTGTAGGAACAATTTCTCTTCTTGAGCTAGTTTTATACCAGTGAGCACTAAGGCCATTAAAATTGTTTCTGCTTTCATCCCAGTTTTAATCAAGCCAGGCCATAAAAGATTCAAAAAGGAGCTCACTTTTATACAAGTAATGAGAAAGTCCAGAGTTAATGCCAGCCATAAACTCAGAAGTGATATAATCCTCCCATCTGAGATTTAACCCAATCTCCAACTCAGTCCCTATGAGAACTGATATGAAAAATATACCCATAGTGGGCTTTTGAGCACTTTAGCTTGAGGTGTCTTTAAATGCCAGGTGCTAGAAAGAGCATCTCACCAATATATCCACACTGATCTTGCCTAGTGAACCCCAGCAGACAGGAACAAGCTGATCCTACCAGGGCTAGGAAGGAGAAGCTGTTTTGCATGAGGGATGCTCTCAGACTGTGACAAGAAAGAGGGGATCAACCTGTGTAAGCACTTAAATGTAGGTTTGGCTTGCTTACATTTGCCATTTGCCAACACGGCAGGCTCTGCAATGAGCTGAATTCACACAAATATGGCTCTTTCAGACAACTTTTAATACATATCCATGCTTGACTAAAAACTTGGCAAAAAAAAGGTTGAAAATACAGAATAAATAAGTAATTTTTGCTCTCAGATGTGTAAAAGATAGGGCTTGGTACTACAGTGACCCATTCCTGTATGCAGCAACCGAGCAAAAATACTCCATCTTCTGCTTTCCTCTCCCTTGATTTCATTAAGATTTTTTAATTTACTGTTCAAAATGCCACTTTCAGTGGCAGTGCTGAGTAAGTCTACTTGTGCAAATCTAAAACAAACCCTCAGCCAACATGTTCTGATATCTTTCAATACATTCAGAGACCAAACTGGGCCCTAAGCATTCTGCAGCTTAGGTTCCCATTGTGATGAAGTGGCAAACTTACTCTGTGCACAACACAATAAATGTAACTTTGGCATCTTAAATACAAAATTCCATGTACCCTGTATTCATAAATTTGGGCTCTTGTTTCTTACTACCTGCTCTTGAGTTGCAAAATTCCCAGACTAAAAGGGTGCTGAGAGAGGATTGCATCCAGGGTCCAAAAAGCCCACAGTTAAAGCTTTTGATAAAACAGTAATACACCAAAAAAACCCCAAAACAAACAAAAAAAAACCCCCAAAAAAACAAAACAAAACAAAACAAAAACCAGCAAACCTCTCATTATTTGGTTTATCTTTCCCAGGAGAAAGAATGAAAAATGTAATACCAGACATACATTTAAGTATCATCCTGGCTTTTTCATACCACTTTATCATTGCTATAGCAACCAACAGGACTACTAGGAAGAGTGGATTAGGTCTGCAGATGAGGCTGGAGCAGAAGGAGCAGGCAGACTATGGAACTATGACCTCATTTGCATGATAATAGCCTTGGTAATAGAAAGCCAACAAAACACCAATAAAGTAAGCACGGGATCATAGCAGCATGCTCTCCCAAAACACCATGGGGGACAGCAAGGAGAGTTATTCTGCAGTCCTGTGTGCGGGTGTGCATCGCTGGGGCTGCAATACAAAGGTCAGTGCATGTCCAGGGGCCCAAAAACCAGAAAGATCAGGGCTGCAAGTGCCTGCTGACCACCTGAAATCTCCTCCCTGTCAGAGCACTCTTGGGAAGGGATCCCTGGCAGCCATCAGGCCCAGCGTTGGCAATGTGCCTAATATCTTCAGCAGGTAGCAGTAATCATCACTTACTTTTATTTGTTCATTTACTGTTGGATCCTTGGCTCTCAGCATCTGTGGTGCAACACAGACCTCTCCCAGCAAACCCCATGGCTCTGTGTCATCCATGGTTTCCTACATTCCAGCAACAGCAGCCCCTATATAGATCCCTCCTTTGCCATCTGATGCACAACCTAAGGCCAGCCCACAGCCACCACTCTTTATTTAGTTAGGGGAACTGCCTTCTATCCAGTTGTGCTGAATCACCTCCAGTTCTGCTAGTCAAAGGCACCCTACTGAAAGCAAATGCATTCTGTCTCCAAACCCCTATCATGCTGTATATGTGTGGGGGCATGGAAAAAAGATGGGCTCAAACCCACAGGTTCACCTTTTTTTACAGCATGATGATATCATCCCAACCAGTAAACATTTAACAGCAGAACTCACACCTCTATGAAAGTATTCCCTGCAACCACATTGGTACAACTACAGTCCCGAGTCTCCTTGTTTCCACTGTTATTCAACCAAAGTTCAGAGCAAAACACAGCTAGCAGATCAGCTCTAATATCCAAAATTACATTCAAATTTGGGTTTCTGGAAAGGCCAGTGCTCAGTACAAGGCTTCCTGAGGCTAGATTTCCTCCAGTGAAGGATTTGCAGGCTGTGATCACAAGTAGAAAGAAATTATGATTTTTCAGAAGGCATGTATTTGCTGGGTAACACGCAGATGCTCCTGCTCCTCTCCCAGCACCGGTGATCCTCACGATCCACGCACCACAGATCCAGCTGTGCTGGATTTAAAAGGCCAGGAGAAGCCATGGCCTGTGCTCAGGGTGCAGGGGGAGATCTGGAGGGTTGCACTTTTGACTTGCAAACTAAGAAAAACTGTTAGGAAAACCAACCAGGACAAAGAAAATGAAAATCCCACAAGTTTTAACATCTCTGTAACCAGACACAAAGGATTCAGATAGCGACACTTAGCTGCTTTCTGTGGCTATGAAAGTAGGTATTATTTTAATGACAGTATGCAATCAAATGGAATATTTTTCTTTCCTTTCTAAGGCAGAAATTGATGTCTTTGATGCAGGACAACACTGAATGCAGAGATAATTTTTTGGAAGAGATTTGTGTAATGACTGTATGGGAAAACTGCACCTTGTTAAACATAAGCGTGGTTTATTCACTCACTGAAAGCAAAGGATGAAAATTATGATGACAAGCACATGTTGCCAGACTCTAGACTGCATCACTCAGGAATAAAATTCAAAAAATTTCTTGTGGGCAGCTGGCTGACAAAGCCACACAGGTTAC